GCGAGCAAACTTTGAACATACTTTGTATACTTTAGATCTTTATCCTAGCACTTTCCCTTTAGCAAGAAAACTTTAGCAAACACAAATATTAACAAGAGGTTCCTGTAGAGTACTACAGATGTTTAGGATGTGAAATACTTACCCTGGGCATAACCAACCCCCGAACCTTTAGATCTCTCTTTGCTTAGCTTTAAGCCTTGCTTTTTGCTTTGCATTTTTATAGGTTTTTCTTTCTTTAAACCATTCCTTTTTGGATAAATTAAAGCCTGGTTGTGAATTTAAGAATTAAAGATTCAAGTTAATCAATAGCTTGGTATCATGATTCTCACTGCAACAGTGGTCAGCTGCTTAAGAACCTCGGTAGTTCGGAGGTTTTGGTTTATGAACTCTTCATTATGGTGATTTTGATCCACCATAAAACCCATCATAGATTCCAGGTACGTCACAACATGATTCTCCATTAACATTTGAAGGTTGAATTGTTTGAAACTATGTGGTCCCATGACATGCTAGGGGCAATTATTGTATGGAAAATTTGGGCGATCCATCCACCTTAGTTTATAGGTGTTGGGGTATAGGTTTTCACTATTATAGTTCTCATAATTGACCATATCTTGGATAGACCCTCTGGCGAGGATCATTTTGAAAGGGGAGGGGATCTTTGAATATAATAAAAAAATTAAAAGGTTGCTTTAGTCTATACGGTACTAGAATAAGACTTCAATATAAAAAATTATCTTTCCGACAATGGCTCCAAAAACTTGATGCAAGCCGCAAGTGCACGACAATGCAAAGTAGTAAAAGATATCAAACCACTGAAATATATGTTTAACTATTGATTTTTACTCTAACAACATGTATTTAAAGTGATCAATGATTGGGAATTCAGTGCAGACATTAAAAATTAACAGAATAAAAATTAAGACATGGGGTATGTGGTTATCTATCTCGACATAACCAATTGACTTTCCGAGTCAAATACGAGAAAAACATATTGAGTTATAGAAAATAGGAAAAAAATTTGTACAACACATAATTTCGTATCATGTGTACTTTCTCGAATAAATAATGTGTCTGCTTTCGCTTGCCTGAACCATACATCTGAGAACTCATATTTTAGCACATCTATGAGGCTTTCTTAACCAAGATCAAGACACCTTGTCACGCAGGTGCCTCGAACACAGATTTATCAACCAAGAGCGAGACATCTTTCTTGTGGCACCACAAATTAGTTGTTTATCAATCCGCTCTCGAATACTGAATCATTATCTTTCAGTACATGATCGGTATCTGAGTTGCTTTTACTTTCGCAACCGACATACATATGCTTAAGATTTCAGATTCTAAATTAACTTTAGCTTTTATTTTTCTTATTATTCATATAAGGAAAATTCACCTGGGATTTGCCATGAGATGGGTCTCATAATCCATTGTCCTTAATGGATTACTCACTCATGGTGTTATTTACCACAATTAAACAATGTAGAGGCATAACAAGCACATAATATCAAGGCAATATAAAATGGAAAAAATAAACCTTAATGAATAAAATTCTTTTAATTATAATAAATAAATCTAATAATGCTTGATTGTTCTTATAGGGAAGTGGAACAATACAGCAAGATAACACACAAAAGTTTAGAACAAAAATTTTTAAGCTGGAAAATAATTCTAGAGTCATGTGAAACCCATACAAGATGATTTCCAACAATGACTCAAGGCTTGTTTATAGCCTCTAAACACATTCAAGTCCCTAAATTCGTGTAAATGTCACTTAAGGTGATTAAGTATCCAAAATGGAACAGTTTGGAGGCACCAAAGGTCACAAAACGTCCAAAACTTCAAGAATTTGTAACTACCAATGGGTTAAACACGAGCAATGTCAGGAAACGCTGTATGTTCGTGTTGTTCTATGAAAATATAGGGGGAGCATGGGAAGAACACAGTTCATGTCAGAGAACACGACCAACCCGTTTTATCCCCAATTTTGATATATAGGTGTGGTGCATCCAATCAACACGGCCCGTGTTAGCTGACACGACCTAATCTTGTTGGCCTCAGACCTTTTTTATGGGAGGACTTCCTTTTTGCGTGCTTCTTAATTTTTCTTCTTCTTTAGTTCATTCGACATTCCCTTATTGAAAATAGTAAAAACACATCAAAAGTGTATAAAAGCTAAATAAATCAAGAAAATAAAATATAATAAAGACTCTAAAAGATACACAATAAGCGTTATAAGTACCACTTATAATTGGTCAAGTAATAATTGATTGGTAGTTGTTTTTTTTTTCCTTTTGTAGAAGTTAGTTAATTACTAACTAGTTGAGCTAGCTACTAACTACTTGAATTAGTTTCTAATAGTTTTTAGCCTTTTTATAAGTAGTAATTATCTATTGTAATGAATATATGCAAGACTCTTGATTTCTCTTGTTATCTATTGAATGAGAAAGATCTTTCTTACTAACTAAGCTATTTGTTTAACATTAATCTTTGAAAATCAACTTAAAAGATAATTTTGTTCATCTACTTCCACAAATAGAAGCACGGTGTCATGAAGTTGGTCTACCATATATAAATATTTGTCCCAATTCCTTTCAATTGAAATTATTGAAAAACCAATACCTACAAACAAAATAAAAGAAATTATATATACGATAATAAAGAATGATTTAAAGTCGTACATCTAGAATTGATTTTTGTAATTAGATAAATTAAATGAATTAGGATCCTCTCAAATTTTCAAAAGAAATGGAAAACACAATTGTTATTTTTTTGTCTATTAATGACTAAAATTGTAAATATACAAATACACATATTATTGTAATGAGTGTCATTTTTTCAACCAATTTGATTTTATACACTCAAAATGTTATTTTGATAATACACTGAGAGATATTTACCTAAAATTATTTAATAAGAAAGTGATTAGTTAGGATATCTCCATTACTCAAAAGAAATGGAGTTGTAAATAAAATGTATAAATACACATTTATAAAAATGATAACATTAATTGCACATTAATATGCAATTCCTTCCTTTGCTTCTTTTATCATATGGCGATTGATCCATAACAAACTTATATATGTGATGACAATCTAATAAAAAGAGGATGTAGTATGACTTCTATGTACGACTTATGTTGAAGCCAAATGGAAACTTCACTTCATATCTTCTTTAGCTTTTATTTTGCTTATTGACGAGTTATTATTAAGAAATTTTGGATAATCACTTTCCTAAAATCTATAGAGGATATTTTTAGGATGCCCTTGCTCGAATGACACCCTAAGCTTCAAAATACTAGAAATGCTACCTCTATTCACACTATCCATCAAATTTAGCTAGCCAAAAATGAACGGAAGTTCAACAACGCTAAACCTGGTGTGCATGTGACAATTGGCAAAACTTTAGCTGTTACGAAGATTAACTCTCCATTCTCTAAAGGTTGGATTGCCCGTCGTAGGATTGAACATGAAATTTTAGATAACTTGCAGATTGAGAAAAGATTCCATAAAGCTCCTAAAATCATTATAATCTTATAAAGCCTAACTTTCTATGAATTAAGATTAACTCAGATGGTTCGGTTAGGGGTATTTTATCAGCAGAAGGTGGAATTGCAAGGGATCATCAAGAGGATTTCTAGGACGCTTTTGCGGTTAATCTTAGGATGCAAAATATTCTCAAAGTGGAACTTATTTCGATCATGATAGCGATAGAGGAGGCAAATACGCAAGGCTAGTTGAATGTTTAGATAAAAGCATACTCTTAAATTTTACTATAAGGCATAATGAAATAGGAACTCATTCCTTGGGATCTTCGTAATAAATGATTTAAGTGTCGACGTCTTCAAATTAATAAGATATATACCCATATTTATAGAGAATCACAATCACAAGATTGCAAATTTTATATGGTGGAAGACGTTACTTCAATTCATTACGAAATTGTATTTGGAAGATAAGTTAAATTAACTAAACTTCAGATTTGTTAAAATTTGATTATTGGAATGGGGTTTCCTAGTTATAGGTCACATTTCTATTCCGTTTTTTTTTATAATTTAATTTAGGTCTATGTAAATATTTTTATTCTTTTAATAATAACATTTATTTCATTAAAAAAATTATAAGTCAACCAAAATCATATTAACGAATAGTGAAAATTTTACCCATATAACCCCCTTTTATCCATATATTTTTCAAAATAACTAAGTTTCTAAATTTTTTCCATAATACCCTACTTTCAGAAGAAAAAAACATGCGTTGAAGGGAGGCGCCATTAGATTTGGCGACACCCTTGTGAATAAGGAGGGGGCGCCGTTTGTGTTGGAGTCACCCTTATGAATTAGGAGGGGACGCCATTCTATTTGGAGTCACCCTTATGTAATTAGTTGGAGACGCCATTTGCTTTGGAGCCTCCCTTATTTCGTGATAAATTATTTAATTTTTAGTAATTCATATATTATAATATTTATTATTATTTTATTTGAAATTTTTCTTATAAATAAATGTCTTGACTTGTATATTCTTTCACACTTAAATTGCCATCGTTTCTTATAAATTTAGCAGATTGAATCATGTATCTTAGAAGATGTGTGCATGTAATTTTCTCAAGAACCAAGCCTTCGATAAGGATGTTATTTTGGAACATCCAAAGTTTAGAGCAACTATGAAGGAATTTGAATTGTTGGTTAGAGTGAGACATTCCAGATGGTGAAAAAATTAGAAGTATTGAAAGACTTGTTTCGTACTTCTCGATTGCAGATGGCAATATACGGCGTGAGTGGGTACGAATTAAAGATGATAACGACATTAGGTCTATGCTATTTGGAACTGATGATATTACTTTGATTGTTGTTATATCTTAGTTTATGTTGTATTAATCTCTATATTTTTAATGGTTTGCGTTGTTGCTTTAGAAGTATTTCAATTTGTTTTGTTGTAAACAAAAGTTGTTATAAATATTAAATTTTAAGGTTACAAATTTTTTTAATGACCAGAGTAAATCTATCTAGAACTTGCTCCAACATTTGGACAACGTTTCCTCGTATGCCCCGGAAGACGACATATTCCACATAATCTTTCAATTTTCTCAGTTGTATCCATTTCGGTTCTAATTTGCGTGCTTTGGAGGGGGGGGGGGGGGGGGGAGGGGCCCTTTTTGTTTCTTCTCATGTTTTTGTTGTGGTAAATTGTGTCTCCACGATAGGTTGGCCAATAGTCGTCACTAGCTACCACTAGAAAGTTGTTATTGTAGATACCAAATAAGTTCACGACCTTGTAAATTTCTGATAGTTGTAAATTCACCATTTGATCAACCATAGCCTCAGGTTCTTCTTCCTCCTCGTTAACTACATCAAATTCATCTTGTTCCAATGACTGTGACTGATCTATTATCTGAGCTTTACCAAACATTTGGTATTTTTGAGTCTGACAGAGTAATAGATACAACTCGATATAGTTGAACTCAGAGTGTTCATGACTATCAAACATGAGTTAAACATCATTATCCTCTTGTATATTCTGTTGAAAATACTTGACCTGACTATTTTCAAAAAAAGCGGGACTTCTATATATGATTTGAGAGATTGGACCAGACAAAATCTTTGACTCTATTCGCTCTTTTAAATGCAAAAAATTTGATTTTCTGCTCATTGTTAATCGGGTAACATAAGTATTTTGAAACCCAAAACCGGAACTTTCAGAGAAGTACGTGTCTCCATTAAAATGAGCATGAATAATATAATTTGTTGTTCTATACATATTTACATGTAATGAAATTTAGTTTAGATGATATTTACCCTCTTCAATGTGTACTGATACATATAATAAACGTACCAGAATAAAATAATGTTAAAGCTTACAAGGGAGACGTCATTTGGTTTGGAGCCCCTTCATTAAATTACAAGGGAGACGCCATTTTCTTTGGAGCCAAATTTTCAAAAATTACAATTGTGGCGCCATTTCAAATGGAGTTAGCATTTAAAATAAAACAAGGGTTCTGTTTGGTTTGGAATCACCCTATTAATGTGTACGAAAATGAAATCTTGCATGCATGCAATTTGTCAAGTGTGACAATTTCTCTACAATTTCATCTACCTCATTTATTTTTCTGCATGGCAATCAATATATCATCTCCAACAATTTATTTTTTCCATCTACCACTAATTCAAATTTTTTACTATAAATACATAGAAGATTTCATTGTCAAAATCATCAATCCTATCCAACCAATATTTTTTTGTTATAATCACACTGTATATTTTGTAGAAAAATGTCTCTGTTAACATTGGGAGAAAAGCACATAGGAACACCAAACAACATCGTTTCTTATGTAAGTATTTATAACTCACTACTTTTGTTATAATCACATTGTTGTAACGATTTGTAGCTCACAATTTCTTTTTGTTAGAATGCTCATGACTTTCGAACTCGCGGGCATAAATATTTCCCCCATGACGAGTTAATTCAACCATATTTAGAGCGCGTTGGATTTGGAGAACTAATAAAAATCCAAAATTATTCCGTGGATACAAAGTTCATTTTAGCATTTCAAGAAAGGTGGCGACCTGAGACGCATACATTTTATCTTTTAACAGATGCATGTGTTGTTACTCTCGAAGACACTTACATGTTATTGGATTTACCTATTAATGGTAAAGTGGTAAACGGTCTCACCAATCTTCATGGTAGTATGAAAAAAGAAATTTTAGGGGTCGACACAACCCCAAGCGATTTGAGGTGCCAAAAACTATTAGTATCATGGCTCAAAATTTTTTATAGAGAAATAACGTTAACCGTAGACTCTCCAGAAATATTGAAAATAATAAAAACTAGAATATACTAATAGGTTTATTTTTATGTCCAGATGCAAGTGGTAACGCTGCTCATCCTATATATTTAGCTTTATTAGAGGACATAGATAAAATAAAAACATATAGTTGGGAGTCCGCCACACTATCACACCTATACAGGTCTTTGTGTAACAATGCAACAACAAATTCGGATACTACTTGCATTTTGGTGACCAATCTAGCGCCTATCCAACACAATAATTTCGAGATTTCCATACACTACAAGGTAATTTATTAGACCATTTTTTTGAAAATTCCATATTCTCTTATTTAATTTATCCTATTATTAACAAATGTTTCCTTTTCGATTTGTAGGTGGTCTGCATTTGGGATGAATTATGACAACTGTCCCCATTACAGTATCACCCAATACTGAAACTTTCTGGATCATTTGGGTCAAGATGATGTACCACCACTGACCTACCTATTTAGAATAGAGTCACATTAAATATTATTTCAAAATACTAAATATTATTTTTTTCTCCTACAGTTTATTTGGCGACCATATCTTGGTCTAGAAGCCATTCATGAAGTTGACGAACACGACTCTGCTATGTGGAGTGCAAAGGTACCAATTATCAACTTCACCACAGTGGAAATGCACAATAGTGATTGTGTCAAGCTTCAGTTTGGAATGCTACAAGATATTCCATGTCCACCAAAATGCATACCCAAGAAATATCACACAAGTAAAGTCTCCGACCAATGAGACTATTCTCTATGGACCAACTTTGCAAAGCATGAGTGTCGTGAATGGAAGCATCACCGCCATTTTTTTGTCCGACACTGTTTTGCCATACGAGAAAAAAACATCTATCCAATACATGAATTGGTATAGGTCGGTTACCACTCGTTTCATTTCCCATCCTAAATATCTGGTTGACCCACGCCATCAAACCTCATCATCAAGAACCCAACCGCCGACCCAGCCCCATTTCCAACAGCCAACCTAACTCCCACTCACACAACCACAACTCCATGAACATACCCTTTACCAATCCACCCCATTCACACAAGTTATTTCCAGTCTCAATACCAACAAAATCCACCACCATACTAAACATACTTCTATGATACTATAAATAAAATTAACATGGAGTATCATACACCCAATCAAACCTTACCCGCCCCAAACATTTACACCAATGTCACCTTACGACCAAACAGGCTATCGTCCCGACATAGCCTCATCGAGCCAACCACCCAAACAAAATTATGAAGGCATGAACAACCTCATTAATCTGAACGACTTTGCGGAGATCGACTCAACTTTATGGGTCCAAATGATCCAATATCTTGAAAACGACCCATTGGACCCGACGCCATCACAAAGACCACCAAGAAACATACGTACTCGAGGATGCGGTACCGACAGACATTTCCCTCGGCCTAGTCGTAGAAATTAATGTACCATATTTCGCCTATGTACTTATTTGTTATTAAATGAAATTGTTAATTATTATTTAATATATTATTTATTAAATATTATTCAAAAATCATCAATTAAGGATGACTCCAAATAGAATGACGCCCCTCCTAATTCATAAGGGTGACTTCAACACAGACGGTGTCCCCTCCTTATTCATAAAGGTGTTGCCAAACCCGATGACGCATCCCTTCAACGCATATATTTTTTTTTGAAAGTAGGGTATTTTGGGAAAAAATTTAGAAACTTGGTTATTTTGAAAAATATAAGGGAAATGGTGATTTTTTTTAATATAACATCTTTTTTCAAAATAATTACCAAATAAATTATTATTTCAAAAAAATTATCAAATTGGCTAACTTTCAAGGAAGAGTCGCCATGTGAAATGGCTAATCAAGGTGCCCTAGACCTGATTCGCCATTTCATATGGCACATGAGTTATTTTTGAGGTGTCCTACCCTACACTGAGTCGCCATATGAGATGGCGCATCAGTTGTAGGATATATATATTTTTTTTAATATTTGATTTTTGTTATAAAAAAAACATATAAAAATTATTTTTTTAATATTTTGTAAAAAAAAACATATAATTTTAAAAAATAATAAATTTTGTAAGGGTATTTACGACATATCATACGTGGTCAGTACTATTTTATTTTTCTATAAATAAGACTACACACTCATATATTTTTCACAATAATTTTCACCAATAGACTCAAGTCTTTATAATTTTGAAATCAGTCTATAATGTCTGCATTTCTAAATCAACGTTCATCGTCGTCATCATCATCGGAGGAACCGTTTCCAACATTTCCTCTAATGAAAAGAAATGCCCTAGTTTATTTTTTAGCAACAAAGCCTCCGATGAAGGTGCTACTGTGGAATACGCAGACTTTGGAGCATTTGCATAAGAAACTGAATCGCTGGCTAGAATGAGATATTGTTGCAGGAGAAAAGATTAGGAAAATTGAGAGGTTGGTTGAGGAGTCAGGGAGAAACGGAGTTACTCATGATTGGAGAAAAGTGGAAAATGATGTTGGTGTCCTTGTGATGATGTTAACACCAAAGAAGATTACCTTGATGGTTGTGAAATCCTAGACAAGTTGATGCGTTGTGTTGTTTTATATGAGTTTGTTGTTGTTATTTTTGGATTGTTATTTTGATATTAGGTTATGTTGTTGTTATTTTTGGAATGTTGTTGTGATATTATGTTATGTTTGTTTAATTTATGTTGCTTGTTAATTATAATTGTTTAATTATACTTTCAATAGAATGAAATTTGATGTTGATTTAAAGGGACACGGTTACATTAGAAACTATGGTCCTGTGCTTGATCTTACATTGGGGCATTTTGTACGATTGTGTCCTGGTTGTCGACACGTACTACATAATCTGACCATTTTGTTTGCTGCATCCATCTCCGTTTGAATGCGCGTGCTATTAGGGCGACCCTTTTTCTTTCTTCGCATCAAATCATTATGCCAGACAATTTCTCCTTCACATGAAGGCCAGTAATCCTCCTTTTCCACCACTTGAAAGCTACATGTGTAGACATTGCATAAACTTATCACTTGGTAAACAGGAGAAAGATAGTTGGTTGGGTCCTGGCGCGCTTTCGAACATGCTGCTATAACATGGGAGCAAGACATACAAAATGCCTAAAACTTTCCACAATCACACCAAATCCTATCCAGTTCCACTCGGTAACATCCCCTAGGCCTTCCTTCATTGTGATCAATTGGCTCGGCAACACTGAACCAACCTTTATTACGGTCAAAGATTGTGACCACATGTGTGTTGGCTTTGGCAGCCTCGTCTTTCATGAACTTTGTTGAACTATTATTGTACAGCTGACCAAATTGTAATACTGAACTCCACTTTGTACGTCTATTATCAAAGAGTGCCCCGAGCCTAAATTATGTTACCTTTAGCAAGGCAGCTATTGGTAGGTTTCAGATTCCCTTGAAAACATAATTCATTGATTCAACGAGGTTAGTTGTCATGTGGCCCCATCGCACCCCATTGTCGTATGCCCTTGTCCATTTCTCTTTATCAATATTATCAATCCATCTTAATACATCTGTGTTTGTTAGTCCGATCTCGTCATGGTAGTCTTTGAACGTGGGCTCTGTTAATGCATATCCTGCGTTCACAACCTTCTTCCTTAGTGTTTTGTCTTTGATTTCCCGCATGAAATTTTAGGCGATATGTCT